AATTTAACAGACGGCAAGGCTAATCCGATCAACAACCCATGGTCATCATAAGTGGATATACCGGAAAACTTGAACATAAGAACCAGTGATGAAGCTAAATAATTGACTTGAACAAACTGCAAGCCTGAACTACCTGCCAATGAACATACGACCTGACATTTCGTCTATGGTCTAAAAGCTCTTTGAAGCAAACAGCATTTCGGTGGAGGAACACGCTACGATAGGGTAATGATGTATTTGTTCTGTTATCTTTCAAGAATTAAGAATCATGCTTTAGATTAGAAAATGTTGAAGTGCGCTATGATGCCGCAGATGATGCCGCTGCTGTCGTATACTGACTCACGGGATGTAAGAGAAACAGTTCTCAGCAAGTACAACGAGGCACTCGTGACATGTATATACACTGTAAATGCATACGAAATTCAGCGTACGGAAATATAATACTTCAACCTTCAACACGTGAGAACGAACTATATGATTGCTGACAGATTGACAAAGGCGCTGACATCTCACAATCATGCAGTATTCGCTCGCCAGCTGTATGTAAGAGTTTGAGTGGAAAGAGAGTTGTAGGGTAGATCAATGAGGGGATTGAAACAGACTGGCAGATAATGACAGTGAGAGAGACTGGGAATAAGAACCAGTGGACCGATTGGGGCTTATCGTGAATAAGAAGTGGAGGGAAAATAGTAAGCGGAATTGATAATAGCTGTACTTATATCTGAAGAGAACCTCGTTAGGTCAGGCAGGGCAGGCTGAGGGTCTCTCTAGTTATCACGCCCACTTCTTCATCAGACACAGCTCTCTCATCTCAGAACAAGGCAGTGCAACAAAGCCCCAAACAATTTACTTCGCCTCACCCACAGTCATAGCTCAGCGTGCCACTGCTAGTCACAGGGATGCAGCATCTGTGAATTTGTGTAACTGGGCAGACTGACTCACGATTAGTCTGGCAACACTTATTCGTTAGGCGCCTCGCGGGGCTTGCTCCAGCACAATGTAGGTACCCACATTGCACAGCCCACCAGTTCTCAAGGCATCCTCGAGGCCAACTAACCCACAAGATATAATATTCTCAATCTGACCATCCTTTTACATCTCTCTACCTCCTCATCACCTTTCAGCACCATCGCGTGTCGAACATCAGTATTCCTATCCGCAAACCTATTCATCATGGATCTCGTCATTTATTACAATGACAGCATTGACTCAGACAACTTGGCCGCGGCTAGTGCCTTATTCAACGCCACATACCAGAGATCAAATACCCGCGTTCTTTGGATTCTAGAGCCTCGCCAGGTCCGCTTCGGACTATCTATGGCAAAGGCTGACATGGACAGGTGCAAAGATTTAATATCTCAGTACTTTCCATCCCAGAAAGACCTTTCCAAATGCCTTTTGAACGGATCTCTCAAGAAGGAAGACATTGATGTTATTCCAGATCTGACGCTCGGCGACCGTGAGATTGTAAGCTTTCCTCTCAAAGCTGGAAACCAGCAGCGCTGACCATGAAATTAGCTTGAGAAGGCAGTAAAGGCCAAGTACGGCCCAGTCGAAGATGCTGTATTGCATGCACGTCTAAGTGCACTCGACCTGGCATCCTGTCTTGCCGAGTGGTCCAACAATGGCCAGAATGAAGTTCTCGTGGACTATGAGTCTTTGTCAGACGTCGAAAACCCAGTGAATCTTCACATGCATCACCATGAAGAACTTCCCAGCCGGAGCGCACAAGAAGTAAGGGCATACAACAGCATCCTGGGAGAAGTGGGTGATTCCGACAGTCGAGCCGTTAAGATGCGGGGCTGGTATGACATGTGTATCAGGCGACTTGAGAACAACACATGCACCTCAAATACAACTGTGGAACCACTTGTTCTGGGCAATCTCGTAAGTCAGATTCAGAATGCAAAAAGCGTTCGATTCTTCGGGGGTTCCTCGTTGAGGATCCTACGCCAGTTTCTCGATAGAGGTGT